GCCTCGGCCTCCCAAAGAGCTGGGATTACAGGCGTGAGCCACAGCGCCTGGCCAGAAGGGATACTTTTATTATACCCATTTCACAGATTGGAACATTGAGGCACAGAGAAGGGAACTTGCTCATCCAAGGTCCCACAACCTGTGAGCAGCAGGGTCAGGCTTTGACCAATGCAATATAATAGTTTCGCCTATAACCACATCCACATGGAAGGTTTCAGCAAATAGTCTCTCAAGAATGTGTGTTGTGGCCGGGCACAGTGGCTCACACCTGCAATCCCAGCACTTTGGGATGCTGAGGCAGGTGGGCCTGAGGTTAGGAATTTTGAGACCAGCCTGGCCAACATGGTGAAACCTTGTGTCTGATACAAAAATTAGCTGAGTGTGGTGGCAGGTGCCTGTAATCTCAGCTACTCAGGTGGCTGAGGCAGGAGAATCACTTGAACATGGGAAGCAGAGGTTGCAGTGAGCCAAGATCACACCACTGCACTCCAGCCTGGGCAACAGAGTGAGACTCTGTCTCAAAATAAAATACATTAAATTTAAAAAGCAGAGAGCACAGGTTGCATTGACTTCCCATTTTTCAGAAGGCCAAGCTTGCCAGGGGCTGCTGTTGAGGTGGGATTAGCATTTGAGGAGCTCTCTGGCCCCTTCAGATCTCAGTCTTCCCTTCTGTTGCACTTAATGGATTCCAGCCTCCTTCAAGTACTAATGGCCATGGTGTTTGATGACAAGACCACGGAGCACCAGGCACTGTCCCCATATGTCACTGTGCAAAGTCCTGCTTCCTGGATGGTCACTGGGTGTCTGGTGCATCTCTACACTGGCCCCAGGTTTAGTGCCAGTGTGGCCTCTTTTGGGTCCTGCCACCTCCTCTAACATCATCCTGTCCTCTTCCTTCCCAGCCCATGGGCATCTTCTCCATCTTGGAGGAACAGTGCGTCTTCCCCAAAGCCACCGATGCCACGTTCAAGGCAGCCCTGTACGACAACCACCTGGGCAAGTCCAGCAACTTCCTGAAGCCCAAGGGAGGCAAGGGCAAGGGGCCCGAGGCCCACTTCGAGCTCGTTCACTATGCAGGCACCGTGAGTACTGGCCTCAGGGTCCTTCTGTTTTGGGTCCCAGCTGGCTGCCGTCACTGCCGCTATTGTAGGTGCATGCTGACACACCCCTCCAGAGATGTCCCGCTTCCACCAGCACAACCATGGTATAACAGGGTAATCAGCTAATTGAAATGAGCTCCACTCACACCTCCTCATCACTTCTCTAAGGGATATACCCATTAGGGAGCAGCCATCAGACCCATCCAGGCTACACCCTGCCCAGGCCCATCAAAACTGCCTGGGCCCACCGTCTATATCCCTTGCTTTAACAGCTGAATCTCATTCTTGGCCAGAAATGACAACACTTGCAAAAAGAACAACAAAAAAATTCCACGAGCCCATTAATGACTCCCAACTGATAACTTGGCTCTCTGACAGCTCATAGCCACCAAACCAACAAGATGACATTTATAGAGTGACTTTTTCACTCAAAACAAACTTAGTCCTTGGGAAGTGGGGAAATTAAGTGTAGCCAGGACTCAGGTTGCTTTTTATAATTAATAGGGGAGGTGACATTCATCTTGCCAGCTTACGAGAATGCATTTGGTTTCCTTGGGATTTTATTATCGCTGTAAATGCCAATGCTCCTGTTACCAAAAGAGGTTGCTGAGCCTCTGTGGGCTTGACTGCAACCAAACTGCAGCCTTAAGACAGAGCCGTCAGGAAAGTCATGATGCCACTGGGCATCAGGGCCAAGGTTTTATGATACCATCAACCGTAACCATAATGCCAATTGCTTCTAAAATGGATTGGGCCGATACTTGGAGCAAACAGCAGGCTTGGGACCAAATTGAAGCTCTCCATCCCCTCTTCCCACACTGAACTGAGAAGAGTTCCTTATTTATAGCAATGGAATATTCAAAGTCAAGTGGGACCTATGCATTTCCAAGAAGGCCCTAAAATAATGCACGAAGATGACAAATGTCTTTGTGCTACACAGGAGATGGCAAGCTCAGAAGTTCTGGCTTCTCATGTACTTTTCTCACTTCTCTGTGCTCCATGGAAGGACCTGAAAGACTCCTTCCTTCTTACCCTGGCAATGGGGACCATGTGGCAAGATGAGAAGCAGAAATTAGTAGATATCCAGTTACTTGGATAGATGGAGCCCTCAGTGCTGGATAGATGGAGCCCCCCCTTTCCACCAGCCAATGACCCTACAGTGATGTAAGAGAGCGTGCATGCTCCCCTAGCAAGGAGGGAAACTACAGTGTTTCAAGAGGGACTGCATGCTTCGCAGCAAAGAGACTTCTTCACGTAGCTCAGGATTCTACAGCCACAGTCAGTCACTGACAGCAAAACCACTGGGCAGAAGGTGACCCAAGGGTCAGGGAGGCACTGTGGCTGGCAGAGCAAGCTGTGTAAGAGAAGGTTACACAGCCCAGGAGAGAGTAGCAGGGGAGTCTAGGTTTATGTGCAAAGCTCAGAGTTGGTTGTATCCTAAATGGGCAAATTGCAAATACCCAAGAAAAGAGATAATAGAGCCTCCAACTCAGACTGGGCTTCAGGGGCATCCCAGGACACCAGGCAAGTCAGCAGGACAAGAACTGGAGCCCCAAGAAATGGGGCTGAAAGTTGGTCCTGGGAGCTGAGAATAGGGCAGAGCTGTAGGAGGGTCTCTAGCTGGAGCACCTGAAAGGGAAAGGCTGGACCTCAAAGTTACTCACTGGCGTCTGCCCTCTCCAGGTGGGGTATAACATCACAGGCTGGCTGGAGAAGAACAAAGACCCCCTGAATGAAACAGTGGTGGGTTTGTTCCAGAAATCAACTGTGGCAATCTTGGCCCTTCTCTTCAAAGAAGAGGAGGCTCCAGGTAGAGCTGACCCCTTGTTGCATCCAGTCTTCCTGTGCTGATGCCCTTTAGTGGCCAAATGGAAAGAAGGAACAAAAACTCTTTTATTCAACTCTTGTGGAGTGAGTGAATGAATGAAAATGGCTTGAGATAGGCATGAAAATGAGGCATGTAGATACAACCTGGGAGCCTCCAGTAACTGAACTAATTACTAGGAACATCTCACCTCTAGGTGGATGGATACTGCTTGGAAAAGTTGACACCCAGATGTTCTGTGTTTCTTTTCTGTTTCCCTCTCTCGTCTGAAGCAAATACCAAGCTCAGTCCTGCCTCCCATCCAATAGAGGTCACGTGGCTCCTAGGGGAATGCCCTGGTGGCTGTTGCCCCATAGGGTTGCCAATTAGTGGGGCCGGAAACGCCAGACTCCTTGGTCTCACCACCAAAGTGCACATTCTCCAATGGTCTGTGGGTGCTTCTTCCTCCCCAGGCAATGGGAGCAATTTGTCACCTTGCACCAGAAATTGCAAACGCCTGCAGCCTCTCCAAGGAGCACAGCAGCTATTTTGACAATTATGCTGTAGCCAGCCCATTTGACCACTCCTTTTCTTTGTTAGGATCCCCCTTATTCATCCCCAGGATAAGCCTTTTTAAATCCACAGAATGCGTGTGCTTTGGTGCAGAGCACTTAATGGGGCTGCCTTTCTCATACTGAGTACTGACATGAAACGTGCTTGTCCCTTCCTTAGCCGGAGGCAAGAAACAGAAGAGAGGCTCCTCCTTCATGACAGTCTCCAACTTCTACAGGGTGAGTAGGGGCAGCACTGAGGCCACCTTGGGTCTGGTGCCCCCAACCCTTCCTTTCAGTGTTGGGTGGTCTGGCTGCTGCTTCATGGCCAGGGGCAGGATGATTTCATTTCTCTGTCTATGATTGCCTCTTTACCTGGAGGGGTCTGTTTCCTTCTGAAGAGGCCACAGAATAACAGGACCATTGGGCAGAAGAGACCCTTTGTGAAAGTCCAGTCCAACTATATTATTCTTGGATTTAAGTCTGGAGGGTAAGGGGATTTGTGCAGTGTTACCACCTGAGATAGCAATGCCCAAGATCTTGTGTCCTAGAGTTGGCTGGCAGGTCTTGGGCTGGCCACAACTTCCATGAAGTTGGGGCGTTACCTTCCAAAGTGCAGGCTACAAGGAGATGTTGCACAAAGAAAGGTGTCAACACTTTTCAAGAATCAGGCTGTCCCAAGGCAGAGGGGGCTACCTTATTGGAGATATCCAAGCAGAGGAGGAGAGAGCATCCATTAGGGAAGTTCATAGTGGACAAGAGTTTGTCCACACAGACCCTACGGTTCCTCCTAGTACTAAGATTCTACAATGAACCAGCTCTGAATCCAGAGGGGCCCTGCTTCTTTGACCGTGAAAGAAGTGCTGCCTAATGGCACTCTCTGCAATGATGAAACGTTCTCTTCTGCACTGTCCAATATGGTAGCTGCTAACCACATGTGGCTGAGTTTTAATTCTGTTTTAAGTGACTAAACTCTAAATAAATATCTCTCCTGGGTACAGGTATCCTGAACATCAATGCAAAGTTTCACTCACTCGTTCTTTGTCCTCCAACCCCAGGAGCAGCTGAACAAGCTGATGACCACCCTCCATAGCACTGCACCCCATTTTGTCCGCTGTATTGTGCCCAATGAGTTTAAGCAGTCGGGTATGTTGTGGGGTCACAGCTCCCTGCTGGAAGTCCTGAGGGTCTGTAAAGTTAGTGTTCATTCTGAATTAAGTCCACCTTTCATCACCAAGGCTGATGGGGGCAAAACAAGGCTCTGAGAGAAACTCCATCAATGGTTTCTAGCCAAATCATATTCTAGCTGCTTTATAAAGCAAAATGGTGCCCAACCAGCCAGAAATCAAACTCAGGGGAGCTTTTGGGCATTGGCCAAATGGTGGGGGACCTGGGGCCTCTGGGACAGTGACAGAAGATGACTGGGGATGATGGCACAGATGCTCAGTTCAGCCTCCTTGAGTGGCCAGGACTGGCCTGTCCCACTCCAGAGGAGGGACTCTCCATCTTGCACCCTCCCCCTTGGCAGGTGTGGTGGATGCCCACCTGATCATGCACCAGCTAGCTTGCAATGGTGTCCTGGAAGGCATCCGTATCTGCAGGAAGGGCTTCCCAAACAGGCTGCAGTACCCAGAGTTCAAGCAGAGGTGAGTGATGTCTCGCTGAATGCAAGGCTCAAGACGCCCAAGAGTTCTCCAGCTGATAAGTCACATCCACTGCAGCAGACACGATGGTGTTCAGTCAATACCACCTCACTGTCGGTCACTACCTAAGTATACACTGGCCCACATTTTAGACAAGATTGGGCACGTTCAGGGTGGTATGGCTGTAGACACTGCCCCAAATTTCAATTGCCAGCCCCTGCATTTCTCGGCTTCTGGATGCTGCTTCACCCCTCCTTGGCAAGCTGAAAGTCCCCGGAATTAATGCCTCCCTGGAAGGAGCTGTCAACCCAGTCAGTGACTGAGGACAGCTGGTATATAAATACCTCAGCTCCCTCACCTTTCTCGTGGCTGAGTCTGAGACATTTTCCACATATACACTCAGACAGCAGTGTGTTTGTAAATGTTTAACAAGGGCTCTCCTGGTCCAAAAAAAAGAAGCCCTGATTGCTAGTGTCTGCCCATTTCCATGGTGTAAACACTCCCACTGTGGCTCCCAGTGATCCCAGCAGCATTAAGCTCCAATTGTCTGTTGCACTAAATGCCTCCACAACATGCCTCTTATTGGCTTTCGGTCCATTCCTTGCTCTGCTACCTCCCAGATAAACTACTTGCATTTGTATTCTTATCTCAGGGTCTGCTTCTGGAGGAATACTGGGGTAACTAATAACCCCACCTCAGAAATGATCCTCTTCTACCTCCTCCAACTTCCTCCAACATAGGACCACACATTGATGGATCAGGAAAGGTCACTAGTAGTCACCTTATCCAAGCCCCTCTGAAGGCCCCAGTTGGGGACTTTTGTGCACCCAAAGGGTGCTGCTCACAGGTCAGGATAAAAAAGCTGTTTTCTGATGTCTGGGTCAATGCCCTCTTCTCAACTCCAAGCTCTATCAGGAAGAGATTTTTGTTTCTTCATTTCTAGAAACAGCTCTTCCATGTACCCTCAACCTACTCCAATGTCCACTCCCAAACTGCAGCCCTTATTCCAAAGCCTCCTATCGATCTCATCTCTCTGCCTCCCTGGGGCATCTGTCAAACAAGTCTAATCCCTGTCCAAAGCCCATCTAGAAGACCAGCGGATAACTGCATGAACATGCTTTTAGTGATGTCGGCTTGGGCACAGTGATAACTGCCAATCATCTCTCTCCTGCCAGGTACCAAGTGCTGAACCCCAACGTGATTCCCCAGGGGTTTGTGGACAATAAGAAGGCCTCAGAGCTGCTTCTTGCAGCCATTGAACTGGATGTGAATGAATACAAAATTGGACATACCAAGGTAGGGTCTGGTGGGCGGTCTCCCCCTACACACCCCTTCAGCCTTATTCTAAGAAGGTGGGCTTCAGGGTGTGAATTCCACCTGGCCACTGACCAATGGCCTGCTTTGGGCAAGTCCACCAGTTACTGATAGCTTCTGTTTCCTGAAAAACCAGGGTTGATCATGCTAGCCTCACAGAATTTGGAGTGATTAGAGGCAACATGCATAGAACCCAGCTCAGCTCAGAGGGGAACTCAAGCAATAGTAGAGCATTTCTTAGAACCCTACGTTTCTTTTCTTTTTTTTTTTTTTTTTTGAGACAGGGTCTTCCTGGAGTACAGTGGCGCAATCATAACTCACTACAACCTCAAATTCCCAGGCTCAAGTGATCCTCCTGCCTCAGCCTCCCAAGTAGCTGGGACTTAAGGAGGCACATACCATCACAGCCAGCTAATTTTTAAAATTATTTGTAGAGATGGGGTCTCACTCTGTTGCCCAGGCTAGTCTCGAACTCCTGAGCTCAAGCAATCCTCCTGCCTCAGCCTCCCAAAGTGCTGGGATTATAGGCATAAGCCATTGTACCTGGCCTGAGCCCTGAGTTTCCAAGAATAAAAAGGGCCAATCAGAATCAAGGTCCTGAATCTGACCCTGTCGGGAAGTTTGCTTGGGTAGGGCCTGGACAGTGAAAAACTGTAAGCCCAGCTCTGAGCTGGCGGCTGAGCCGAAACTGACTCAAACAGAGCAGCCTCCTGCTCCTGACTCATGGGGCCTGAGGTGCCCTGGGTCTATCCCATTTCCTGGCCCCACAGCATCCTGTTGGTGTTGTAAAGGCTGGCCAGGCCAGTGGTGCAAGGTGTCCTTACACAGCCACCCCCTGCAGACTGTACCTCAACATGATCTCCCCATGACACAGGAGGTTCACTGGCTTTGCAGTCAGGAGAGTTGGGCTCAAAGCCTGCCTCTGTGCCACCTGGAGCAGATCATTTATCTCTCGAAGTTCTCATGCATGACGCAAACTTGGCATGGAAGTTTGCAGCATGCCTGTGCCTCTGATGCATATGGTCGCTCAGTGAACACTTATGGTGCGCCTACTGTGTGCCAGGGACAGTGCCAGGCTCTAGGGACACACAGTGAAGAGAAGAGAATGAGTCCCTCACTCCCTGGAGCTTGCTTTATAACACTGTGTGTGTGTAGAATTGTAACACTGCCCTAGAACCTGGTGGCACTGTTTGTTTTGTCCTCCTTCACAATTAAGATGTGCTGTAAATAGCTAGATTGACTTGTGGGGAACACTTGAGGTTTGGAGACAGGATCATTGAATACTTGAGCTGGAAAGAATCTTAGAAACCAGCGGGCCCCTCCTTTCCCTACCCACCCTTGACAGATGGGGAACTTAAGAAAGCCTGGAGAGGGGGTGGAGGTGGCATACCCAACCTCACAAAATGAGGCGGGACAGAGCTAGTCAGCATCAGGCCCACTGGGACTGGTTGTGTGGATGGAGAAGCCGGAGCTGGTATCTCAGAACCTGGCACAGCTCAGAATCTGGTCTGTTTACTACCTGGCCAAATGGACCCCATCTTGCTATTGTACAAGGGTTGCATGAGGCACGTCAGTTCCAGGGGAAGACCCAGGGCTGCTGGGGACAGTTTTGCTCCCTGAGGACTAGGCAGACTGGCAGCAGGGGCAGAATAAAGAACAGGATGATTCTGACTGCAAATGGTGTTCCTATGTTTGGAGTTGGCTCAGGTGGGCCCCACCCCCAGCCACATGCTCGTTGCAAAGACCAAACCACAATGCTAATTAATTTTGAAATATCAGGAAACATTTTATGACATCAAACCCAATTTCTCTACTTTGTGATGTTCAGCTCCTCGGGGGGCCTTTTGGGGGCAGGGAGCATTCTTTCTCATCTTTTACCCACAGGGACTCAGTTGGGTGCTGTATTCCCTGGCCCCATGTGGCATCTTGGGCTCTTGTAGCTCGGAGGCCCTATAGGCAACATTCTCTCCAGACAGGATGGGAGGCCTAGGCCCCCCAAGGGACAATGACTTAACCACAGTCACACACACAGCACATCCAAGGCAGGCTGAGGCCAGAATGCAGGTCTCCTGGCACCTTCTATCCTTCTAAAAGTTTCTATCATGTCCTATTTGAAGCCTGGAAAAAGGTGTTACATCATGAAACATAAAGCCAGCACCTGTGAACCCACTGAAAAGCCTAGAATGTCAACTTTTCAGGTCTTTCCTCCCCCACCTCCTCCCCACCTGCAGGAGTAACCCCTCGTCTTGAATTTTGACATAAACCATTCTCTTACCTTTTTTTCTTAAGAGACATGGTCTTGGCCGGACATGGTGGCTCATGTCTCTAAAACCAACACTTTGGGAGGCCAAGGCAGGCAGATCATGAGGTCAAGAGATCAAGACCATCCTAGTCAACATGGTGAAACCCCGTCTCTACTAAAAATAAAAATAAAAAATTAGTTGAGTGTGGTGGCACACACCTGTAATCCCAGCTACTCGGGAGGCTGAGGCAGGAGAATCATTTGAACCCCAGAGGGGAGGTTGCAGTAAGCTGAGATCACACCACTGTACTCCAGCCTGGGTGACAGAGGGAGACTGTCTAAAAAAAGAGACATGGTCTTGCTCTGGAGTGCACCCGGACTGGAGTGCAGTCACACAATCACAGCTCACTGCGGCTTCAAATCCTAGGCTCAGCGATTCTCCAACCTCAGTCTCCCAAGTAACTGAGAATACAGGTGCACACCACTACACCTGGCTAATTTTTGTATTTTTTGTAGATACGGAGTCTCACTATGTTGCCAAGGCTGTTCCCCAACTCCTGGGCTCAAGCAATCCTCCCACCTCAGCCTCCAAAAGCATTGGGATTACAGGCATGAGCCACACCACCTGGCTCATTTTCTTACCTGTCAAAAATAGCTTTAGCACATATGCCTGCAGTTGTGCTTGGTTTCGAGTGTCATGGAAGTATCGTACTTGACACACCCTTCTGTGACATTCTTCCATGACGTGCTTTTATCTCTTTGCCATGTTTCTAAGCTTCAGCCTCATTGGTATGTGACATTATCACTGCCACACTGCACTGCAGTGCGGCTGTGAACATTCTTGCTCATGGTCCTGTGCAGGAGTTTCTCTAGAACAAAGTTCTCAACCTTGGCTGTATATTAGACTCATCTGGGGGGATTTTTAAAGCATCCACAGGCAGGGCATGGTGGCTCATGCCTATAATTCCTGCATTTTGGGAGGCTGAGGTGGGAAGATCACTTGAGTTCAGGAGTTCAAGGCCAGCCTGGGCAACATAGCCAGATCCCATCTCAGAAAAAAAAATTTTAATTAGCTGGACATGGTGGCACATACCTGTAATCCCAGCATTTTGGGAGGCCCAGCCTGGACAACATAGTGAAACCCCATCTCTACAAATAATAATAATAAATTTAGTTGGTGGCATGTGCCCGTAGTCTCAGCTACTCAGAAGACTGAGATGGGAGTATTGCTTAAGCTCAGGAGGTCGAGCTGCAGTCATCTGTAATCATGCCACTGCACTCCAGCCTGGGCAACAGAGTGAGATCCTTTCTGAAAAACAAAACCAAAACAAAAAACAAAAACCTTCTTTGATTCAAAACTCCTCCAATAGCTGCCACTGGGTGACAGCTGGGCTTTTTTCAAAGGCGTGCCGTCTTTTCCCCAGGTGTTCTTCCGTGCAGGCATCCTGGCCAAGCTTGAGGACATGAGGGACGAGCGTCTGGCCAAGATCATGACGATGCTGCAGTGTCGGCTCCGGGGCTTCCTCATGAGGGTGGAGTTCAAGAAGATGCTGGAACGAAGGTAGCACTCACAAACACCAACAGGAAGGCCCAGGGGAGCCACAAGCACTCAGGGACAGCACCACTATCCACACCATGTGGTTGGCAAGGGATGGATACCAATGTCTTTGCTGGCACAAAGAATCCTGTGTGGCTGGCCAGGCATGGTGGCTCATGCCTGTAATCCCAGTACTTTGGGAGGCTGAGGCAGGCAAATCACCTGAGGTCAGGAGTTCGAGACCAGCCTGGCCAATGTGGTGAAACCCTGTCTCTACAAAAAATATAAAAATTAGCTGGGCGTGGTGGCGCATGCCTGTAATCCCAACTACTTGGGAGGCTAAGGCAGGAAACTCGCTTGAACCCAGGAGGCAGAGGTTGCAGTGAGCCAAGCCTGGGCAACAAGAGCAAAACTCCATCTCCAAAAAAAAAAAAGAATCCTGTCTCTCAGAGCTGCCACAATCAAGTTGACACACTGGGTGTCTTCAAGCAACAGGAATTTTTAAAAAAATTTTTTTATTGAGGTCCCAGCACGGTGGTTCACACCTGTAATCTCAGCACTTTGGGAGGCTGAGGCAAGCAGATCAGAAGGTCAGGAGTTCAAGCCCAACCTGACCAACATGGTGAAACTCTGTCTCTACTAAAAATACACAAATTAGGTGGGCATGGTGGCACACACCTATAACCCCAGCTACTCAGGAGGCTGAGGCAGGAGAATCACTTGAACCCGGGAGGCAGAGGTTACAGTGAGCTGAGATCACACCACTGTACTCCAGCCTGGGTGACACAGCGAGACTGTCTGAAAAAAAAAAATTTAACTGATACCTAATAGATATGCATATTTTTGGGTTTCATGTGATAATTTGATACATTCATATAATAAAATCAGGATAACTGGGCTATCCATAACCTTAAATTTTATTTTTGAAGGGGGATGGGATCTTGCTCTGTGGCCCAGGCTGGAGTGCAGTGGTGTGACCATAGCTCACCACAGCCTCAATCTCCTGGGCTTTAGTGATTCTCCCACCTCAGCCTCCTGAGTAGCTGGTACTACAGGTGCACAGTACCACACCTGGCTAATTTTTTTTTTTTTTGGTAGCAATGAGGTCTCCCTATGTTGCCCAAGGCACAGGCTCATCTCAAACTGCTGGGCTCAAGTGATCCACCTGCCTCAGCTTCTCAAAGTGCTGAGACTATAGGCGTGAGCCACTATACCCAGCCCATCTTCTCTCTTTTTATGTAGGCACCAGTCATATTGAATTAGAGTCCCTCTTACTCTAGTATGACCACCTAACCTTAACTAGTTATATCTGCTAGGACCCTATTCCCAAACAAGGTCCCCTTCCTAGGATCCGGTTAAGACTTCACCGGATCCTTTAGGAGGACACAGCTCAACCCCTAACAGGAAACAATTAACATAAACCTTCTCTTTACAGTTCAGGTCACTTTCAAAGCCCTTCTCTTACTTGATCCATGTAATGATGCTGTAAGAGGAGCATGGTGGGGCCAGCACCCCCACTTTACAGATGAAGAAACTGAGATCTGAAAGGTTAAGGAAATGGGGTAGGTTCACGCAGAGCCAGGATTAGAATTCAGCAATTCTCACTCCACAACCCTGCCCTTCAAATCATGTTTTTCAGCCATCTCCCTAACCTGGCAATTTAAAAATGGCTGGGTCCAGCCAGGTGTGGTAGCTCATACCTGCAATCCCAGCACTTTGAGAAGCCAAGGCAGGAGGATCACTTGAGCTCAGGAGTTTGAGACCAGCCTGGGCAACAGGAGATAGGGAGACCCCATCTCTACAAAAAATCAAAAATTAGCAGGTGGTGGTACATGACCGTAGTCCCAGCTACTTTGGAGGCCGAGGCAGGAGGATCACTTGAGCCAGAGTTCAAAGCGCCAATGAGCCATAATTGTACCACTGCACTCTAGCCTGGGCAATAGAGACCCTGTCTCAAAAAAAAAAACCTAGGTCCATCCCAGATGACCTGTGACTGAGTCTATTTATTTGTGGTCACAGAATTAGTAATGAATTCCTGTTCCCACCAGCAGGCCACCTGCAGCCCTATACTGAAGGCAGGGACACCGGTTAGGGGTTGATGTGAGGGATCTTGGCTTGATCCAGCCCAGGGCCTTGGCGCACAGGAGGTCCTCAATAAATGGCAGTTGAATGAAGCTACAGGGAACAAGAAATGGGTGGATTCCAGCAACTCTGCAGATCCATGGGATTCAGAGACTAATGGGTGATTTCTGGTGAAGGAGGGAAAATGCAGGAGTAAATGACTGCTCTGTCTCAGCCTTGTACCATCTGGGAGGGACTTGGTTCCATCAGGTTTTGTCTCAGCTCTCTTAGCTGCTAAGCTCTGACCCCAGCTTGAGTCTCCCTACCCCCAACCACATGTTCAATGCCGGGTCTTGAGAAAGCACTTTTGTGTCTAGACAAAGTAGATCTGCTGGCTTCTACTCCCAGGTCCCTCCCCTTCCCCAGGGAAGCCAGAAGCCAGGTCCTAACGCCTTCATTGTAACCCATTCAACCCTGGATTCTTTTCACAGAATAGGCCTGAAAGTCATTCAGCGGAATGTGCGCAAGTTCCTGCAGCTTCGTTTCTGGGGATGGTGGAAGCTGTACAACAAGGTGAGGGCTGAGGGGCCAGGACAGCAAGGACTGCTGCTGCCTGTGGGTTCGTGGGGAGGGGTCTCGATCCTGGACAGAGGTGCCCCTCGGAGTGAGAAGCTGCAAAAACAGTCTGAAAATGAGGGCACCTTAGAGGCAAAATCTAGCCTCTGTCCAGACAGGAACTAATTCCTCCCTAAGAAAAATCATGGGGCCAGGCACAGTGGCTCATACCCATAATCTCAGCCCTTTGGGAGGCTGAGGCAAGAGGATTGCTTGAGGCCTGGGCAACATAGTGAGACCCCATTTTAAAAGAAAAGAAAGGAAGGGAGAGAGTGTGTGCATAAGGAAAGGAAAGGAGGGAGGGAGGGAGGGAGGGAGGGAGGGAGGGAGGGAGGGAGGGAGGGAGGGAGGGAGGAAACAAACATCGTGTGTCTTTCCACCTTCCATCTCATCCCTCAAATAAAAACCACTTAAGATGGAGAGAGCCACTCCAGGCCCACCAAAAAAAGTGAGCTTGATTATTGACTCCTTGCCCCTGGGAATGTTGAGGCATCTTCAACTTCAGTGAGTTCTTGGCTTTAGAGCTGGAGGAACCTCAGGAAATGATGGGGTCCGACCTCATTTCCTGTTCTTCTTCCAAAACAGCAATGAGTGTGGCCTGTGAGTCAGCCAGCTGGTGGGACCTACAAATGTGGGTAGCCAGGCCACCCTCAGCCAAGGCAGGAGGCCACCAGCCATGGCACTGTATGTGGGTCCAATCATGCCTGAACTGGGGCCACCATTAAGAGGGAACATGTCCCTGGGCATCAGAGGAGGGAGTCGGGCACGAGGCAGCTATGTTCAGGAGACAGGAGGACCTGCAGAGGGTGAGGACGGGATCTGAGTCATCTCGGATGGCCGTGAGTCCTCCAAAGCTCACAAGGAAGTTTCTTTATATTCCCCACGGGAAAGAACTGGCTAACGATCAGCACCGACCACAAATGGAAAGGGAGGAATAGCAAGTTCTGCTTCCTCATATGTCTCCACACACAGGCTGGCCCTGGAGGACCTGAGACTGGAGAGGAATCTATATGAGCACATCTCAAAGGCCAGGCATTGCCAGTGCTGCCTGGGTTTCCTCACCTGTTCCATGATGCCCATTTCTTTACATTAATTCTCTTTTTTTTTTTTTTTGAGACAGGGTCTTGCTCTGTCACCTAGGCTGGAGTACAGTGGCACGATAGCTCACTGCAACCTCCGCCTCCCAGGTTCAAGCGATTCTCCTGCCTCAGCTTCCCCCTCCCCAGTAGCTGGGACTATAAGCATCTTCCACCACACCCGACTAATTTTTGTATTTTTGGTAGAGATGGGGTTTTACCATGTTGGCCAGGCTGGTCTCAAACTCCTGACCTCAGGTGATCCACCCACCTTGGCCTCCCAAAGTGCTGGGATTACAGGTGTGAGCCACAGTGCCCAGCATTTTTTTTTTTTTAATCCTCTCCTCTTAGTATATTAACAAAGCCAGATAGGCTGGGTCAATGAAAAAATACTCGTAGTAGGTTTCCATTGAATAAAAACTGCTACACAGCAGCAAGGTATGGCGGTTACTACAACCTTTTCATGCCAGCTTTGCCACTGTGACATCCCAACTTCTCAACAACCAGGCTGGCAACGAACGAGGTTTATCTGTTATCTTCCAAAAGAGGCGCAGGCCGTCTCTCCTCCCAAATCCATGTCTAGGACATTTTCCCTCCTGGGAAACATATCTATTGACTATGTATCTATTGTATCTGTGATTCCCAGAGGACCTGCCCCACCAGCTCTGCTAGGTGCTTTAGGGACCCTGAAGGGACAGGAGGGAGGTTTTTAACGGGCTTGCAGACGAAGGGCAGGATATGGGTGGTGGGACTGAATGGAGCCTGGCGCTCCAGTGCAGGTGAGAAAGGTCAAGTACATGGAGAGATCCTGATGGGTGCTGCAGGTGCAGAGCAGGAGCAAATGCTACTGGCTGAACAGCAAAGAAGGCCCAGCCGTACAGACACAGGCGCAGGGGCACCGGCCAGGGCAGGAAGTATCAGCTGAGACAGTGCAGGAGGAGAGCATGGGCTGCACTGTGGAAGGCCTGCAAGGCCAAGTTGAAAGGTAGGACTTCAGGTTAGAGAGAAGATGAAAGAAGTGAGAGAGTAAGAGACAGAGAGAGAGACACACACACACACACATAGAGAAAAACAAATAAAGAGAAAGACACAGACACACACAGACAGAAAATGAGAGAGAGAGAAACAGAGAGACAGCACAGCAGAGAGAGAGACACAGATAGAGACACCATGAGACAGAGAAAGAGACAAAGACAGAGACAGAGGGAGAGAGAGAGAAACAGAGAGAGGGAGACAACAATAGATAGAGACCGAGAAGAGAGGCAGAGATAAGGACAGCATGAAAAAGACAGAAAGAGACACACACAAAGAGAGAGAAAAAGTGGGCAGGTGAGAGAGACAGCAAAATGAGACAAAGAGAGACAGAAACTGAGAGAGACAGAGGGGCAGCACTCGGTATGGAAGAAAGGAGAGAGGGGTCCCCGGGGCTGTTCATTTCACCAGGGTTCCTGCTGTCTACACAATGTGCAGAACAGATGTAAGCCTTGGGGCGCCTAGATGCTGAGGACACCTCCTGACTCCACATCCCTCAGGATTAAAGAGTATCCTAAGAATTGTCCTAGGCGAGGATGGGCCTTCTCTGTTGAGGCTAGGTATACTTTACACAAGAAGCTTGGACTGGTGGCATCTGTGGAGAAGGACCCCACACATAGAGATACAGCAAGAGCTGCTTCCCCCCACCGTGGTGCTGTGAGGTGACATCTGAGGCAGAGACCCCACAGCCCACCATCTATCCCCCAGCAAAGCCCATCCTCCTAACACTCTATGGTGGTGCTCATCACCCAGGTCAAGCCGCTCCTGAATGTGGCTCGGCAAGAGGAGGAGATGAAGGCCAAGGAGGAGGAGCTCAGGAGTGCCATGGCCAAGACTCAGGAGCTGATAAACAAGGTCAAGGAACTGGAGGAGAAGATGGCCACACTCAGTCAGGAGAAGAACGACCTCACCATCCAGCTGCAGGCTGTACGCAGGGTCCCAGGGAGAAGGGTGGGGGGACTCACGTACAGCCCGGACCCAGGGAAGGAGGAAGCGCAAGCTCTTCCCAAAACCCATGCCCCTCCAGACCTTGGAGAAATTCTCCAGCATATAAGGTCACCCTCAACCCAACTAACAAAAATCTCCTTCAAATTTGTGTGTGTGTGTGTGTGTGTGAGAGAGAGAGAGAGAGAGAGAGAGAGAGAGAGAGAGAGAGAGAGAGCGCGAGCGAGAGAGCGAGAGCGCAGATAGACAGACAGACACAGGGTCTTGTTCTGATACCCAGGCTGGAGTGGAGTGGCTCGATCACAGCTTACTGCAGCCTCCATCCCCTGGACACAGACGATTCTCCCACCTCAGCCTCCTGAGTGGCTGGGACTATACCATCACGCCCACCGAATTTTTTTGTATTTTTTGTAGAGGCAGGGTCTCATTATGTTGCCCAGGCTGGTCTCAAACTTCCAGCCTCAAATGGCCCTCCCCTTTCAGCCTCCCAAAGTGCTGAAATTACAGGTGTGAGCCCCCATGCCCAGCCTCCATCAAATTCTTATTTGCACACAGCAGCAGGCTGGGCACGCACAGCTACAGGCCCTGTTTGTAGGGAAAGTCCAGGGATGGTAGCCACAAGATGGGGTGAGAACATCGTCCCCTGGAGTTAGGGCTGGGCTCTGCCATATGAACTTGGCAACTTAACATCTCCAAGCCTCCTTTTCCTCGCCTGTCCAGGAAAACACAGCAGGGAAGAATGAACGACATCATTTCTGTAGGGTACCTGATTAAATGTCCTGCGGTGAATTCACTGCCAGGGTCCTTCCGGTTTGCAAAGCTTCTCCTATTCCTTTCCTGATTTGACTCTCACAGCCGCCCTGTAAGACACTGGATTTTCATGTGCCTCGTACAGAGTGGAAAACCCAGTTTGGCAGACATTTAGAAATTTGATCAAGGTTCCAGGCCCATTAGTAAAAAACCTAGCCCTGGAAGGGGCCCAATTCCATCTTCAGGCCTCCCTGATCTTCGCTTGCATTTTCCTTCCCTTGTCCCCGAAGCTGCCTCCAACATAATTTCTCTATATCCTCTTCATACCCCTGATAAGTTGTTTCAACTGATATCCCCATTTTGTTTGTGGAGGCTGAGGCTGGGCTAGACCACAGTGATGGAAGAATCCTTCTGGGCCAGATTCGGGGGCTCACGCCAGTAAACCCAGCACTTTGTTGGGCCAAGGCAGGAGGAATGCTTGAGCCCAGGAATTTGAGACCAGGCTGGGTAACATAGTGAAACCCCATCTCTACAAAAACATTTAAAAATAAGCCGGGTGTGGTGGCACACCTGTAGTCCCAGCTACTTAGGAGGCTGAGGTGGGAGAATTGCTTAAGCCTAGAAGGTTGAGGCTGCAGTGAGCCATGATTGCGCCACTGTACCACAGCCTGGGTGACAGAGTGAGACTCTGTCTCAAAAATAAACTTAGCTGGGCATTGCAGTGTGTACCTGTAGTCTCAGCTACTTGGGGGTCTGAGGTGGGAAGATTGCTTGAGCCTGGGAGGTTGAGACTCCAAGAGCTGTGATTGCACCACTGCACTCCAGCCTGAGCAACAAAGCAAAACTCTGACTCAAAAAAAAAAGGAGCTCAGAGATAGCCTGGCCCTTTGTCCAACCCCATCTAACCCCCAGGACACAATTGTTCAGGACCCATCAGCTCAAGTCTCGTCCAGGGTCTTGGTGTGGTCTTTGCCTGGACCCTGCCTTCGACTGGAGCTCTTTCTCCCAATAGGAGCAAGAGAACCTAATGGATGCAGAGGAGCGCCTGACACAGATGATGAAGACCAAGATGGAGCTGGAGAGCCAGATCTCGGACATGCGGGAGCGGCTGGAGGAAGAGGAGGGCACGGCTGCCTCGCTGAGCGCCGCCAAGCGCAAGCTGGAGGGGGAGCTGAGTGACCTAAAGCGGGACCTGGAGGGCCTGGAAACCACGCTGGCCAAGACAGAGAAGGAGAAGCAGGTGAGGAGAGCCTGGGGCCCTGCCATGCTTTTCTCAGGTGCTCTCCAGGGGCCATACCTGGAGCCCCCATGGTGGCTACAGTCAGTGCCCTAACCACTGGCCACATAGGGCTGTTTTTTTTGTTATTATTTTTGGGGGTTTTGTTTTGTTTTGAGACAGTCTTGCTCTGTCACCCAGGCTGGAGTGCAGTGGCACAATCTTGGCTCACTGCAACCTCCACCTTCTGGGTTCAAGTGATTCTCATGCCTCAGCCTCCCGAGTAGCCAGAACTACAGATATGCACCACCACACCTGGTTAATTTTTGTATTTTTAGTAGAGATGGGATTTCACCATGTTGGCCAGACTGGTCTTGAACACCTGACCTCAGGTGATCCGCCTGCCTCGGCCTCCCAAAGTGCTGGGATTACAGGCACGTACCACCACGCCCAGCTAATTTTTTTGTATTTTTAGCAGAGATGGAGTTTTGCCATGTTGGCCAGGCTGATCTCAAACTCCTGACCTCAAGTGATCTGTCCGTCTCAGCCTCCCAAAGTTCTGGGATTACAGGTGTGGGCCACTGTACCCAGCCCACATGGGGCTACCTTAATTTACAACTTAAAATTCAGTTCCTCAGTTGCACAAGCCACATTGCAGGTGCTCAACAGCTATGGGCGTGAAGTGCCACTGCATGGGGCAGCAAAGGCAGAGAAGATGTCCATCACTGCAGAAAGTTCTGCTGGGCAGGGCAGCTGACTAAGAGGACTGAAAGCTGTTCCCATCATGGTGAAGTGTCCACCTTTAACTGTTGAATTTCTGCCCAAACAAGCAGTTGCTGCCCCTCTGAGCAGCTCCCTGGGGGAAGCCCTGGCTCCTGATGCATCCCCTTCCTGCTGTTGCAGGTGGGTCGGGTTCATGAGCAGGGTAAGAGGGACTCTGCCTAAACCTGTACTTCTGCTCTGCTGCACACACAAAAACCACCAGGGATACGGTCAGGTGCAGACTCTGGTGGGTCTGGTGGGGCCCGAGGATCTACATTTCTAGCATACTCCTAGGTGATGCCACTGCTGACATCCAGGGACCATACTTTGAGGAGCCTAGGTTCTTGCTGCTTCCCTTTACCCCCAAGGTTCTGACTTGGTTGGCCTGGGACACGCCCTCGGTGCTGGCATTTCTCAAGCTCCCAGGAAACTCCAGAGTGCACCCAAGCCGAGGACTCCCTCCTCTCCTCTTCACAAAGGCTGTTTCCAGCCTTAACAACCCACCTCTCTCCCTGCCCTGGCTTCCAGGCCCTGGATCACAAGGTCCGTACCCTGACTGGGGATCTGTCACTCCGTGAAGACTCCATTGCCAAGCTCCAGAAGGAGAAGAGGGCCCTGGAGGAGTTGCACCAGGTAGGTTTACCCTGAGTCTTTCCTCAGGCCAGTGGCTAAAGCTTAGCACAATGTGCTTTGCACTGGAGACTAGAGCCCCCATTTCAAATCCTGGCTCTGATGCCCCTTCAGCTTGGGGCCGCAGGGAAGTTAAGGAATCTCTGTACATCTCAATTTCCTCAAGAGTGACATGGGTGTGGCCCCCTCTTGCCTTCTTTCGAAATTTGTTATAAGTAGGGCAACAATATATTTTGTTTTCCAAACTAGGTCAGTTTTGAGAGCAAGAGGGGGAGCTATCAACAATTATGAATCATCCAGGCATGGCAGCTCACACCTGTAATCCTAGCACTTTGGGAGGCTGAGGCAGGAGGATCCCTTGAGTTTAAAAGTTTAAGACTAGCCTGGGCAAGATGGCAAAATTTCTCTACAAAAAATAACAAAAATTAGCCAGGTCTGGTGACATGTGCCTGTAGTCTCAGCTATTCAGGAGGCTGAGGAAAGGGGATAACTTGAACCCAGGAGCTGGAGGTTGCAGTGAGCCAAAATTGCACCAATTACACTCCAGCCTGGGTGACAGAGCAAGACCCTGTCTCAAAAAAACAAACAACAACAACAAAACAATGATGAGTTAGGTTGGGCCCATGCACACTGGAGAAAGTATGCTCACTGGAATGGTGGGGTTGGAGCAGGGTGTATGGAAATGACCCATGAGCTTGAAAGCCCCAGCAAACCCTGACACTGTGGCAACAACAGGTCATGAGCTCTTGAGGCCATGGGGAGACTCCCCTACTTTCCCAGGGCTGCTGTCATGGGCTCAGGCTTCTGAATGCAGAGCTGACCTCCAGAGAAACAGGGGCAAACAGCCAGACAGTGAACCCTTGTCCTTGTGTTTGCTGACACCATGAATCCACATGTCCCCTGAGTGTCTCTCCCTGCTGCCTTGGGAACTGCCACTCTTGCCCTGTGATTTTCAAGCATATCAGACCCAGAGCCCCTTTCATAACAAATACAGTCGATTTGTGCTATTTACAGTCATTATGTTTTTGTTTATTTTTGAGACAGAGTCTTACTCTGTCGCCCAGGCTGGAGTGCAGTGGCATGATCTCAGCTCACTGCAACCTCCGCCTCCCAAGTTCAAGCGATTCTCCTGCCTCAGCCTCCTATGTAGCTGGGATTACAGGTGCCTGACACCACACCTAACTAGTTGTTTGTATTTTCAGTAGAGACAGGGTTAGACCACGTTGGCCAGGCTGGTCTCAAACTCCTGACCTTGTAATCCACCCGCCTCAGCCTCCCAAAGTGTCGGGTCTACGGGCATGAGCCACTGTGCCCAGCCAATTTTTGTAGGGTTTCATCATGTTACCCAGGCTGGTCTTGAAATCCTGGGCTCAAGCAATTCTCCCACCTCAGCCTCCCAAGGTGCTGGGATTGCAGGCATGAGCCACCACACCCTGCCAACATTTTCATCAAACAATCAATACATAATTGATGTAACTATGGTCAATATATTACTTTGTTATACGGTCTTATTTAAATTGTTGCTTCACACTGAACTCATGGCCAACAGCACTATCTATACCTTGTGTCTGGATGAAGCTTCTCTCACACATGTATTTTCTCATAAGGCACATCACTACCTTCCTGCACTAAGGACACTCAACAGCACTTCAGCACTGTTTGGGGGTCATTTTAAACAGCAAAGCCCCATATAAAAGAAAAGAAAAAAAAGCATGGCACTAAATAGAGCATTAAAATGACACTTGTACAGTATGAGGTTGGCACAAAAACGCAGAGTATCACCTGGTTCGACCTCAGCAGAAAAAGCGTGCATCAAAATTTTTCCTGCCCCCACGTGCATGTTTGCGGGTGACCATGAGAAAGTGCTGCGAGTACTGACTGTGGATTACAAATACGTTTTGGTGGATGGGTGAATGGACAAATAGAGAATCCAACAAATAGGCCCAGCGCGGTGGCTCACGCCTGTAATCCCAGCACTTTGGAAGGCCAAGGCAGGCAGACCATTTGAGGCCAGGAGTCCCAGATCAGCCTGGCCAACATGGTAAAACCCCATCTCTACTAAAAACATAAAAAATTAGGTGGGTGTGGTGGAGCACACCAGTAATCCCACCTACTCGGGAGGCTGAGGCAGAAGAATCGCTTGAACCCAGGAAACGGAGGTGGTAGTGAGCCAAGATTGCACCATTGCACTCCAGCCGGGGCAACAAGAATGAAACTCCAAGTCTCAAAATAAATAAATAAATAAAATAGCCCAGACGTGGTGGCTCATGCCTGTAACCCTAGCACTTTGGGAGGCCGAGGTGGGTAGATCACCTGAGGTCAGTAGTTCGAGACCAGCCTGGCCAACATAGTGAAACCCTGTCTCTGTTAAAAATACAAAAATTAGCCAGGCATGGTGGTGCTTGCCTATAGTCCCAGCTCAGGAGCCTGAGGCAGGACAATTGCTTGAACCTGGGAGGCAGAGGTTGCAGTGAGCCGAGATTGTGCCACTGTACTCCAGCCTGGGTGACAGGGCAAGACTCTATCTCACTAAGAATAATAATAATATAATAGGCCAGGTGTGGTGGTTCATGCCTGTAATCCCAGCACTTTGGGAGGCCGAGGCAGGTGGATCACCTGAGGTCAGGAGTTCAAGACCAGCCTGGCCAACATGGCAAAACCCCATCTCTATTAAAAAAATACAAAAGTTAGCTGGGCATGGTGGTGGGCGCCTGAATCCCAGCTACTCAGAGGCTGAGGCAGGAGAGTCACTTGAACCCGGGAAGCAAAGGTTGCAGTGAGCCAAGATTACACCACTACACTCCAGCCTGGGTGACAGAGCAAGATTCTGTCTCATAAAAATAAATTTATTTTTAATGTATTTTTATAAAAATAAACAGTAAAAGAATATCCTTTTACTATTCCTAAGTAAAAATTATAAATTACATAATACATAACTTCAAGAAATCAATAGCACACCCTTTGATATAAAGGAGAAATGAGTGGAAATTGACACTAGGTAATGTGCTGTTGATGTATAAAAGCTCAGGCAGGTCGGCCAGGCGTGGTGGCTCACGCCTGTAATCCCAGCACTTTGGGAGGCCAAGACAGGCAGATCACTTGAGGCCAGGAGTTCGAGACCAGCCTGACCAACACTGTGAAACCCTGTCTCAAAAAAAAAAAAAAAAGCTCAGGGAGGTCAACTAGTAGTAGATGGGCACAGGAGGGTGTGTGGTGACTCAGATGGCAAGGTGTGGTGCTATCAGGGATGGGATTTATAGAATGGCGCATAACTTTTAGGGAAACAACGATAACCAATAAATCTTCTCTCAGTTTCCATCGTACATCATTTTTTTTTTTTGAGATGGAGTCTTGCACTGTCGCCTGGATGGAGTGCAGTGGAGAAATCTCGGCTCACTACAACCTCTGCCTCCCAGGTTCAAGTGAGTCTCCTGCCTTTGCCTCCCAAGTAGCTGGGATTACAGGCACCCACCACCACACCCAGCTAATTTTTTGTATTTTTAGTAGAGACAGGGTTTCACCATGTTGGTCAGGTTGGTCTCAAACTCCTGACCTCAGGTGATCCACCCAACTCAGCCTCCCAAAGTGCTGAGATTACAGGCGTGAGCCACCGCACCCCACCAGCATATCATTCTTTTCAAATGCAGTGTCTGGGCACAGTGGCTAATGCCTGTAATGCCTGTAATCTCTGCACTCTGGGAAGCTGAGGCAGGCAGATCACTTGAGGTCAGGAGTTTGAGACCAGCCTGGCCAACATGGCAGAACCCTGTCTAAGCTAAAAAGGCAAAAATTAGCCAGGTGTGGTGGCACGTAACTGTAATCTCAGCTACTTGGGAGGCTGAGGTATGAGAATCACTTGAACCTGGGAGGCAGAGGTTGCAGTGAGCCAAGATCACGCCACTGCACTCCAGCCCAGGCAACAGAGCAAGACCTTGTCGCAAAATTAAAAAATAAATAGAAGGCTGGGCGCGGTGGCTCAAGCCTGTAATCCCAGCACTTTGGGAGGCCGAGGCGGGTGGATCACGAGGTTAAGAGATCGTGACCATCATGGTCAACATGGTGAAACCCCGTCTCTACTAAAAATACAAAAAATTAGCTGGGTGTGGTGGTGGGTGCCTGTAATCCTAGCTACTCAGGAGGCTGAGGCAGGAGAATTGCCTGAACCCAGGAGGCGGAGGTTGCAGTGAGCTGAGATCGTGCCATTGCACTCCAGCCTGGGTAACAAGAGAGAAACTCCGTCTCAAAATAATTAAATAAATAAATAGAAATGAAATAAAATAAAATGTAGTGCAGGCCAGGTGTAGTGGCTCATGCCTATAACCTAAGCATGAGGATTTATAGGAGGATTGCCAAGCCAGGAGGATTGCTTGAGCTTAGGAGTTTTAGACCAACCTGGGAAACATAGCAAGACCCTGTCTCTACAAAAAATTTAAAAATAAGCCAGGTGTGGTGGCATGTGCCTGTAGTCCCAGCTACTTGGGAGGCTGAGGCAGAAGTACTGCTTGAACCCAGGGGTTCAAGACCAGCCTGGGTAACATAGCAAGACCCTGTTTCTACAAAAAATAGGAAAAACAATTAGCCAGGAGGCTGGGGCAAGAGGGTTGCTTGAGCCCAAGAGGTGGAGGCTGCAGTTAGCTATGATCATACCACTGCACTCTGATCTAAGTGACAGAGTACGATCCTGTCTCAAAAAAAAAACTGCAGTGCATATTAAATGAAAAAGAACATTGAGTTACATGTAAAACGGTGCTGGGCTCTAAGTTCAGAAGAGTAGAAATGGTTGTTTTACTCACATGAATGCCTGGGTGGGACATCAGGAATGTGGACTACTGAATTCTTCTTCATGGTACCAGATTGTCCAGAGCAAGGTGGGATGTCCAGCATTGCTGGAGTCACCCACTAAATGTCAGGGGGACCTCCAATCACTGTGACAACCAGAAGCACCCCACCTATTTCCCATATGCCCCCTGGGGACCAGAGATAAGGTCTCACTATTGTTCAGGCTGGAATGCAGTGGTGCCATCATAGCCCACTGCAGCCCCAACCTCTTAGGTCCGTGATCATCCTACCTCAGTCTCCTGAGCAGCTGGCACTACAGCTGTGTGCCACCATGCCTAGCTGATTTTCATATTTTTTTGCAGAGACAGGGTCTGACTCTGTCACCCAGGCTGGAGTGCTCTGGTATGATCAGAGCTCACTGAAGCCTTAACCTCCCTGGCTCAAGCAATTAACCTCCCTGATGGGTGGCTCAGGTCCATCTGCTCTGGCCTCACCCAGAGCCAGGAGCAGGTGCTCAGTACCTACTCACTGAAGTCAAGTCAACTTCCCAAAGCCTGGGAGCTGCATAGATTGGAAGTGACGACAGAATCAGGCCTGTTCAGCTGCTCCCACTGGGCCTTGTGGCACTCACATGTGTATCTTTCCTTCCAGAAAACCCTGGACGACCTGCAGGCTGAGGAGGACAAGGTGAACCACCTGACCAAGAGTAACAGCAAGCTGAACACGCAGATCCATGAGGTAACACCCATTGCCATGGCCATTTCTACAGCTCCAAGGCCAGATCCCTCTGGGGGCACAGGGTCCAAAGATAAGTTTTGGGAACTGAACTGATGCATACCCTGGGATGTTAGAGCCCTTCTGAGGCCACAAAGGATCGGACCCAGTCTGGTTCCTTCTTGCTTTCTGACCTCAGACTTTCCTCTTCTGCCTTCTCTTGCTGTTCTTGTCTCCGTAGCTGGAGGATAACTGGGAGCAGGAAAAGAAAATCCGGGCAGAGGTGGAAAAGGCTCGTCGGAAAGCTGAGAGTGACCTGAAAATGACCATCGACAACCTCAATGAGATGGAGCGTTCCAAGCTGGATCTTGAGGAGGTGGTGAAAAAGTACGTCTGTGTCATCGTTTGTTTTGTCCGTCACAATGGTAACAATAGCTGGAGCTGCCTGAAGGGTGCCAGGAGCCAGGCACTGTATGGAGGGCCTCACATGCATTCATGCCCGTCCCAAGCACCTACCAGGAATGGAGGATATGCAGAGAGGTAGGGGCTTCGCTGTCTGCAGGGAATACACAGCATCACCCAATACCTGGTGGGGGTACTGGGGAGGAAACGAGCGCCACCACCCCCAGGAACAGAGGACTCAGCAGGATAGGGAGGCATCATAAAAGCCTGTGACCTGGGGTTGGGCACGGTGGCTCAGACCTGTAATCCCAGTACTTTAGGAGGTCAAAGTGGGAGGACGGCTTGAGGCCAGGAGCTCTAGACCAGCCTAGGCAACATAGCAAGACCCCGTCTCCACAAAAAAATCCAAAAATTAACTGGGCATGATGGAGCCAGCCTGTCGTCCCAGCTACTGGAAAGGCTGAGGCGGGAGGATCACTTAAGCCCAGGAGGTTGCGGCTGCAGTGAGCCATGATTATGCCACTGCACTGCAGTCTGGGTAACAGAGCAAGACCCTGTCTCAAAAAAAAGTGTCACCTTAGTAAATGTGTGAATGAATGAGTGATGAAAAGTCTGAGGAGCTCATTCAGGGTTCTAACTGCTCTGTAGGTGAGACCTTCTGGGCTGTCACCACAGAAAGCCAAAAGGGCTTCGAGGTGCATGTGTTTCAGCAGGTTCAAGGCCTCCTCTGGCAGTCTGGGTGCCATTCCCTCTCCAACTTACTTGTCTACCCTCAGAGCCTTTCCTCAGGAGACCATCTCTTCCCTTGTAGGAGAGATTTGGAAATAAACTCCATCAACTCAAAATATGAGGATGAGCAGTCTCTGAATTCCACGCTGCAGCGGAAACTGAAGGAGCACCAGGTATGTCCAAGAGCAAGAAGCCTGAGCTCTCCATTGGAAGTGCACCACTCTGAACCCTTTGTTCATGTCAGCTACTGGGCAGTTGAGTGTTCCTGAGGAGCAAGATTGCCATGGAGTCCTTGGAGATCAACCTGTGTTCTCGCTGGGTGGAAATCCAAAGTCCCTATGATGGTCATGAGGCCTTCCAACCTCCAACCTCTGCTTCCCGCTTGACCTCATCACTGAGTGTTTCCCTCCACTCTGTCCAGCCATGCTGGCTCCTCGCCGGGTGTCACACATGCCAGGCCCCCTCCTGCCTGCCTCAGGGCCTTTGTGCATGCTCGCTGGGATCTGCTTCTCTCCGCTTTTGACAGTAGCTGTCATATTCTCACATCCCTATTTTCCATCCTAAAAGGCTAAGTGGCTAACTTACTAACTTGCATGAGAGATGAATCCTCTCCCTTCTCTGTCTGCTAGGCCCGAATTGAAGAGCTGGAAGAAGAACTAGAAGCTGAGAGGGCCATGAGAGCCAAGGTAAATGAAATATGCTTCCCCTTCTTGAGTCAAAAGACCTAATGGCAGCCACACATCCAACCATGAATAGAAACCTCCACTAAGGAAACCAGTAGTGGAGACAGGTGTCCAGCTAAAAAGTCTAGTTGCTTCTTGCATACCTACTGTGTTCCAGGGACTGAACTGGCACACTGTAGGTATTCAATTAATCCACAATAATCATGATGTAAAAGCCAGATACTCTGTGTGGCTTCAGTCCAGAGGAGAAGAGGCTGGTTCTACCTGGGGCACATGGAGGAGGAAACACTTGATCTCAAAGATGGAATTCAACAGGCAGATGCAGGGAGGAATATCTAGGCAAAGGAAATCAAATAGCACCTACCTTCATGGAGACAAAAGTGTAGACAGAGAAAGCATGTGTTAGCAAGAACGGAGTGTGGAGGGAGGCTTGACGGTGGAGATCCTACAGGAGAGTGAGCCCAGAAAGCTGGTGGGAGACAAATCACAGCATATCTAACCCCAAATTCAGCCAAATTGGACAGGTAGTGGGTAGGATGGGCAGTAATGCCCAGGCAGTGTGGAGAAGACAGACAGTATCCTTCACTGAGCCTGCGTGATGACAGGCAGGGCACAAGGCCCCCAGACACCAAATCCTGGCTTCTCAAAGGTAAAGCAATCATCATACTCTTCACTGGAGAAAAAGGAGCTCTGGGTGGTTATCATCGGTATCATTAAATCTCACCCAGTGGCCAGGCACAGTGACTCATGCCTATAATCTGAATTCTTTGGGAGACCAAGACAGGAGGATCACGTGAGACCAGGATACCAGCCTGGGCAACATGGTGAAACCCCATCTCTATAAAAAATTTACAGATTAGCCGGGTGTGGTGGCATGTGCCTATAGTGTCAGCTCCTCAGGAGGCTGAGGTTAGAGGATTGCGTGAGCCAGCAGGCAAAGGTTGCAGTGAGTCAAGATGGCACCACTGCACTCCAGCTTGTACCACAGAGGAAGGCTCTATCTCAAAAAAAAATTTCATCTCAGGTGGAGAAACAACGCAGTGATCTGTCCCGGGACCTTGAAGACCTCAGTGACAGGCTGGAAGAAGCTGGTGGAGCCACATCTGCTCAGGTACCCATCCCAGGGGGCTCAGAAACCCCCAGCCCTGCCTGCATTTAGGGGAAAAAATGCTGGACTGTGAGCAGTAGGGTAAAGACTGGTTCATTCTTGCTAGGGTTCCTGAGCCGAACTTGAGGAGAAACCAATTAATAATTTTAAAATGAGGCCTGGAGCGCTGGCTCACACCTATAATCCCAACACCTGGAGAGGCCAAGGCAGAAGGATCACTTGAGCCCAGGGGTTTCCGGCCAGCCTGGGCAACACAACAAAACCCCATCTCTCAAACAAACAAAAAAAAAACCTGGGCATGGTGGCACGTTCTAGTTCCAGCTACTCAAGAGGCTAAAGTAGGAGGATCACTTGAGCCTAGGGAGACAGAGCCTGTGGTAAGCTGCTATGGCACCACTGCACTTCAGCCTGGGTGACAGAGCAAGACCCTGTCTCTCAAAAACAAACAGAAAGAGTTTGCTACTCACAGTTCCCAAGAGGAGGGGGCACAGCATGCTGGGCAGGGCCAAAGAAGCACTGGGGTTGGTTAGAAGGCAGAGGACAGGGAGAAATGTAGGCAAAGGTCTTCACTGTGGCTCCCGTGGGAAGGACAGGTGAGGCAGGGCAACCAGGCTCCTGACTGGCCAGTTTGGACAATCTCAGTGGACTTCAGGGTTGACCCTAGTTGTCGGTACCTGGACCTGGACTGATTAAGGCAGGAGTATAGTGAGTAGAAACGTGAGAGCCCAGGCGGGCGTGGTGGCTCATGCCGGTGATTCCAGCACTCTGGGAGGCTGAGATGGGTGGATCACCTGAGGTCAGGAGTTTGAAACCAGCCTGGCCAACATGGTGGAACCCCATATCTACTAAAAATACAAAAAATTAGCTGGGTGTGATGGTGGGTGCCTGTAATCCCAGCTACTCAGGAGGCTGAGGCAGGAGAATCACTTGAATTCGGGAGGCAGAGTTGTAGTAAACTGAGATCACACCATTGCACTCCAGCCTAGGCAACAGTAAAACTCCATCTCAAAAAACTGAAAACAAACAAACAAAAAAAAGAAATGTGAGAGCCCCATAAAGGAGGTGGTTGGGGGTGTGGGTTCTAGACTGGCTGGTTTGCATTTGAATAGTGTGCTCAAGGGTGAGTTGTCTGCTATCTCTATGAATTGGCTATCCCTAGGGTAGGGCAGGGGTGTCCCTCTAGAGATAGCAAAAACCCAGATGTCAAAGCATTAAATATAGAAATAAAGATATGGTTAATACAGTAGGGTGACCTCACTACCCTACACTTCAAGGGCGCTCCTCTGAGAGGCAAATGGGGCTGAGACCCAAGCCTCACCTCCTGTTGTGGGGCTGTGTCTTCTAATTCACATGAAGGTATCATGGGGACCAGCAGAAGCCATGTGGCCTTCTCTTTCTAATTGCATGTCATCAGCTCTCAGTCACAGCTGCTGGAAGTCTGGGCCCCTTTACCTGGCGCTGCCTGGACTCCGTGTCCACTGCCTCATCAACCTGGCCATAGTCCTCTCAGTAAGGGTATGTGCCTAGATCTGAAACTGGTGCCCAGCTGTGGTGAGGGTCCTGGCAGGAAACAAAATCATTCCACATGGTATGAATAACAAAGCATCAATGAAGGGACAGGGATGATTTCTAGCAGAGTAGGAAGGGTTTAAAAACAACAGGGGCAAGGGTGTGGAGGCTCATGCCTATATCCCACATTTTGAGAAGCTGAAGCTGGAGGATCACTTGAGGCCAGGAGTTTGTGACTAGCCTGGCAACATAGCAAGACCCATCTCTACAAAAAGAAAAATTGCTGGTAGTTAGTGGCGGACCCCTGTAGTCCCAGCTACTCAGGAGGCTGAGGTGGGAGGATTGCTTGGGCCCAGGAAGTTGAGGTTGCAGTGAGCCAAGATCATGCCACTGCACTCCAGACAGGAAGACTCTGTGTCAAAAAAAAAAGAAGCAGCAGCAGCAGCAGAAGGGGAGGGGAGGGAAGGGGAGGGGAGGGGCTCGCAGACTTGGTGGCTTAAAACCTCAGGATGGTATTCTTTCACAATTAGGAGGCCAGAAGTCTGAAAACAAGATGTGGGTAGGGTTGGCTCCTTCTGGAGGCCCTAAGGGAGAATGTTTCATCCTCCTCTCCCAGCCTCCAGTGGCAGCCAACAATCCTTGGAGCTCCTGGCTAGATGCATCCTTCCAATCATAGGGCCTTCTTTTTTTTTTTTTTTTTTTGAGTCGGAGTTTCGCTGTTGTTACCCAGACTGGAGTGCAATGGCACGATCTCGGCTCACCACAGCCTCCACCTTCTGGGTTCAAGCAATTCTCCTGCCTCAGCCTCCCGAGTA